CGTATTACTTGTTACTGCTCGGTGTTTCTTCCTCATCCAAACTTGCATGACATGTTCGATTAAAATTCACTTCAAGTATCTTCGCAAAGTACTGGTCGCTCCGATTCCAACATTTTTCGATGTGACCCCCATTGGACGAATCTTAAATCGGTTCTCGCGAGACCTTGACGAAGTTGACAATCAGCTCCCGTACGGGGGGTTATGGCTACTACTGTGTGCTTTTCAAGTGGCGTCGTCGTTTTGTGTTTGTGCCGCTGTGAACCCATTTGTGCTCTTCATGTACATCCCTGTTGGGTATGGTTGCTGGTTTGCTGCGAAGGTCTACCTGTCTTCAGCGCTTGAGCTAAAAAGACTTGACGGTGTCTCCCGGTCACCTTTTCTCAACTTGGTATCCGAGACGATTTCGGGTTTGGACACGGTGCGATCTTACAATATGACGGGTGCATTTGCGAAGCGATGCGAAGAACTGCTCAACAACAACATGAAATTCTACTTTATCATGCATTCAGCGTCCCGTTGGTTCGATATGCGGACAGATTGGTTTATATCTGTCATCATTGGCACTGTTGCACTTCTTGCAGTTGCAACTAAGTCAACGGTTGGAGCTTCCGTTGCTGGTCTGAGCTTAACCTACGCGGCGCAGTTGTCTTCAAGCTTCCAGAGGATGACGACACTTTCAACTCGAGTGGAGAACAGTATGACTTCTTTTGAACGCATTGCTCACTACAAGTCGCTGGATGAAGAAGGCGACCAATGTGTACCTACTAACGAAGGCTCCCTACCTCCAGCGTGGCCCCGTTCAGGTGATATTGTCTTTGAAAAAGTCACATTGCGGTATCGAAAGGATCTGCCCATCATACTCAAGGACGTCTCGTTTTTCGTTAAAAGTGGCGAAAAAGTAGGCATCTGTGGACGCACGGGATCTGGGAAGAGCTCGCTAATGAGTGTGCTATTTCGCGTCGTTGAGATCCCAAACGGTGGTCGCGTTCTCATGGATATCTCGACGATTACAGTGCAACAACTACGTTCAAAACTGACAATTATTCCACAGGACCCAATGTTGTTCAGCGGCTCACTACGTATGCATTTGAACCCGTTTGCGGACAAAAGTGACGCAGAGTTGTGGGAGGTACTGCGTAAGGTGCATTTGCATGACACAGTTGCAGCGTGGGGCAAAGGACTTGACTACGAGGTGGCTGAGAAGGGAGATAACTTGTCTATTGGACAGAGACAACTACTCTGCATTGCACGGGCGCTCATTCGGGATAGCAAGGTGATCGTGATGGACGAGGCCACCGCAAATGTCGACCAGGAATCGGACAAGTTGATCCAGCAGACGATGAAAGAGAGATTTGGGAACACTGACCAGACAGTCCTCTGTATTGCGCACCGCATCGAGACGATCATGGATAGTGACAAGATTTTGGTATTGGATGCAGGTCAAGTGGTGGAGTACGACAGCCCTTCTACTCTATTGCAGCTGAAAAATGGAGCGTTCAGGTCTCTAGTCACCTCCGGAAACACACTTACTCCAACCCAGTGACATTTCTATATAACCACACGCATAACTAAGTAAACGTCGAAGTGCTCGCTATTTTTTATTTTTTCTTCATGTTAATTTCATTCTAGGCAATCGATCGCCATGGCTATGCTGTTCATTCGTGTTGCCTCTTATCGTATTACCACATTAACGTGGTCACCGACAATAGGAGGAGTCTAGCCATCCTTAATGCAGTCTTGACGTCGTAGCCATAAATTGCATTCATTTTCACTTTTACACGACTACGCAGACATTTTTTAACATCGGAGCAAGCGAGTCTCTAACTAATTCAGCGGCTTCGAGATCGACGTAGGCGATGTCGATGACCTCCGCAATCCGAACCCCACGAGAGGTGGCAGCACGTTGGCTGCTGGAGCTACAGAAACAGGAGCCACCACTGCTGACGTGAAGCGCTGTGACGAAGATGGCCCAGTCTCGCTGACTCTGTAGTATGGGCTAGGCGATAACGCAGCAGAACGAGGAATCAGCGACGGAAGCCGTGGAGTAGTCATCGCTCTGCTTCC